CAGTAAGGACTTGTGTCGCTAAAGATTCGTCGGAACGAAGTTACGGAAAGTTAATTAACAAACAGAGACGTAACAATTACATAATTATTGAGAGGGCCTAAATTAATTACGACTATTTTCAGTGAAAAGAATATAAAAATATATTATTGTTTATATATATACATATATAATAAATTAAAGTTTCGAACACCATTCGATGTATCTTTCAACATTTCGTCCACACAGGCAAAATCTTAGAACTACTTCTCCATCGGGATTCGGTCCATGTTTTGGACCAGGGAAGGTCAGGTTGACCTCTTCCTCCTTACCTTAGAGCTGACAACATTTACACTAATGTCTCGTACAACGACCTTCAAAACCTGAATTGAATAATCCAGATAAACGGAAATAGAAAAGAAAAGTTGACTTATATGTCGAAATTTACGAACAGGAAACAAACAAACAACAGAGACCAAACTCAGTAAAACATTTGAGCTAAACTTTAAATTCATGTATTTAATACATCATGGCCTTGAACAATCCGTCAATGAAATTAGCTTATCGTCTCCCATTACTGAAGTAGAAAGACTTGAATGTTGACACGTGTGCTTATTTGCCAACAGTTAGGATGGCTTTTATTACCCTAGATAATTTTATTTTATTCATATAAATAAGTAAAAACTGTTTCAGACGCTGGTGAAGGATTACGGCACACGACTCATAAAGGAGTACGAGAGCGCGTGCAGAATATTAAATCAACTTTTATATCAAATATGTACCTAATAATGACGCGAAAGATAACGTTCTTAGACAATAAAATAGAGAAAACCTACAATTTTTACATCATTTTCTTTTATACAGTTATGCATATTTAGCGTGAATTATCAGATCCTCTGGTTTTATATGGTTGCATATATATTAAGCGCGAATTATCAGGTCTTCTGGTTTTATACGTTTGCTTATATTAAGCGCGAATTATCAGGTTCTCTGGTTTTATAGCTTGCATATATTAAGCGTGAATTATCAGGTCCTCTGGTTTTATACGGTTGCTTATATTAAGTGCGAATTATCAGGTCCAAAGGTTTTATAAGGTTGCATATATTAAGCGTGAATTATCAAGTCTTCTGGTTTTATATGGTTGAGTATATTAAGCGCTAATTATCAAGTCCAAAGGTTTTATACGCTTGTGTATATTAAGAGCGAATTATTAGATTTTCTGGTTTTATACGGTTGCCTGTCAAGAAGGTCTCGTCGATTATGGACTATATTTTATAACTTCTAAAAAAACTGACTTAAAAATCGTGCTGAGTGCCCCAATCTTCTAGTGAGTGATGTCGAAATTATATTTTTGCCTAATTAATTTATGTTCGACATTGTCAAGTCTTAAGAATACTCACCGCTGTTATAAACCCACATATACACAACCAGCTGTGAGATCCTGCTTAAAAAAGAATATACTTGGATTTCATGTCCTTATGTTGTTGTTTTTCGCCTAATTTTTACATTAAATGAAAATAATTGATCTCATTCTGCACTGACTTTCAAAATAAATGTGTACCCGTGTGTGTTTCACACGTGCATATTGTATATAAGTGGATTAAAATACTTTCTTAAAAGTTATACAAAATTAAGTTGACTGAAAATTAGTCATTTAAGTCGATAAATTTGTATAAGTGAATTTGTATTTGTGGCAAAACTATTAAGGCTATCTAATGCCGTCCCTAATTTTAAATTACTGACCAGAGGGAAAGTCAGTAGTACCTTAATATCCACCATCCACGCTGAGGGATTGACTGTAACTCTTATAGCTCACTCACAGCTTAAAGTGCGGGGAAAATCTTGTGGTATCACATGGATACGAATCTCGATAAGTGACTTTATTATTACAAAATGGACTCTATCGATTTTTTAGCCTTTCATAAGCGGTTGAATTTTAAAACCAACATCAATGCTATATAAACAGGATTGAATATTAAAACCAAGAGCAATGCTAAATAAACATGATTGATACTTAATAACAACACCGGAGCTATATAAATATGGTTGAATTTGAAAATCAACATCAGAGCTATATAAACATGGTTGAATTTCAAAATCAACATCAGAGCTATATAAACATGGTTGAAATTTAAAATCAACATCAGAGCTATATAAACATGGTTGAAATTTAAAATCAACATCAGAGCTATATGACATCGCAAGATTTTAAATCAAGTATAAATAAGGATCAGTGTTGCTTTGCTGACATGTATAAAATGGCTCATTATTTTATTTACCACCTTCAATATTTTATATTTTTTGAAAGGACTCTGCGTAGCTTAACTTAAGTATTCCTGCGCAATGCCCACCAGTGTGGTGCATCATTTTATCAGTCTATTTTTTCGCAACCCTGAGTATTCTTTAATCCATACATCCTTGGCCATACCAAAATATACTTTATATGTGTGGCACTACTTGGTTCTTCATCGGTACTGGGGTTAAAACCTCGCAAAATGACAATAGCAAAGTTAATAGCCTATTACTATGTTTAATGTGGTTTATTTGTTGTTTTTTTTTATTTTTGAAACTTTTAAATTCATCCCCGTCCACTCTTTCCTTTTAGTGATGTCACACAGGTTTCCATTGTTTATTGAAGAGATGGTATGTTTGTAGTTAAGAACAAAGCTACACAATGGGCTTTCTGTGTTCTGCACACCACGAGTATCGAAACCCGGTTTCTAGCGGTATAAGTCCGCAGACCTACCGCTTTTCCACTAGAGGCGAAGTGCTGGTTCCACCTTATATTTAACTTAATTCTGAAGTATAAAAAAATTAAAGTCGTGCACCCAATGGTATGAATTAAAACAAAAACTCTTTCTAGATATTTTTTTCATATACCTTAAGGCTTTTTGATTAACTTGGAATAGGAATTAAGAAAAAAGAAAGTTGTTTTTTTTTTCTGGAAGATGATGTACTTAGTCCAGTCCTACAACTTTTATGCTCCTTCAAACCGCTTCCCATCATAAGCTGTGATTAAACATACCCTAAACCTCTTTTACTTTTATACTTCCTGTTCATTAACCGCTTCTTGTGTACAACGTTCTCATTGGTCATACAAACGATAGACGGTACAGTTCAAACGTAAATCTGAAACATTATACTTATTTGTATATATGTATTATCAGCGAATTTTTATTGGTTACAAGATCAATAAATCACGGCAAGCTAGAATATATAACAATCGGGCGATTTTCTCTCATTTATCCAAGTCTTTCATGCACAACAGCTTCTGAGGTTTAAAATATATTAGTGAATTATTACCGATTTCTCGAGCTACTTAGAAACTTGTTTTATTCAAAGTGTATCGTAAGTAGTCATTTTCAGCCTTTTACAGTCAATTAGTTTTACAACACGAAAACATTGTTTGTTAATACAGATACAGTGTAAGTAATATAACCGAATCCATTGAGAATATATATATATATATACATTTCAAGAATTAATTATTTTTTTTAATCTTTGATACACATAAACTACTCAGTATCTATACAGAATTGGTATGATAAAAAACATCTTATTATTATATAAATCTTAATTGATTATTGTCATGGAAAACAAGTGTCCTCTATATTATATATCTCGCCACATGAAAGATGTTTCCTTAGTTACCTGAAGTAATAGGCTACTGTCCGTATACGTAGAAAGTAATTTGGAAATCATTGATGGAAAATATAAATGAAATTTTATATGCATCTAAGTTTTAAGTGTAATTTGTGTCGCAATGGTATTGCCACAAAGTTGCACAAAGAGTTATCTGTGCTGCGTCCACTGCAGGGATGAACCTAAAATTTAACGCAGAAAAAGTTCTCAAGCTTACCGCTGAGTCATTGGGTGGGTGGGTGCATGGACGATTTGAAATCAGTTTTTTACTCGTTCCACTCAGAACTATTTTTTGTCCAATCAGTAAAGAAGTAATACAACATATCATGAATGATGCGATTGCATACATCAACCTAATAATCCTGATAAAGGCAATAAACGTCCAATAATTTCTACGAAACGTAATTTAGACAACTTATGCTTACGTTTTTTTTTCCATCCATTTAATTTTGCAGTTGATGTCTTCAAACAAATGCAACATAAACTCGAACTTATAGCAGGACCATTATCTTTATCAATAAAATATATCAGTAATCTATTATAACATCTGAGCCATGGTTTTATCATGTAATGAAATGTAATAAAAATTTTGAACCCTCATACACATAAAACTTCTCAAGGTTGTCATCATTTTCTTGAAGGCAATATAAAACTAAGCATTTAAATCAAATTTGGTGATCAGACAGTACTGAAATATGTTTAAATAGTCTTTTGTATGCTGAAAATTAGCTGATTATACAAATAATTATACCCACATGACTTAAAAATAGCAGAAATAATTCATTCACTGAATGCACTGAATGTGACTTAAATTTTAATTTTGTTCACTTCGATTCCAGACTAGTCCAGGTATTGTTAAAATATTAGTCAGAGAAGATATTGATTATAGAAATATGATAAAAGAAGAAAACGTTGAACAAAATTATCAAAAAGGGTTAGCAAATTGAAAATTCTCTTTTCCATCACTTCAAGTTTTACAATAGGGTAGCATGGCAATGTGCAAACTTATATACGCACACGAATGATTACACTCATTCGATTACAACACCATTCCCAGTTTGCCCCTGAAGAAGAAAGGTCAACCTTTTGAAGGCGCTCGGGTTATAGGTTTTTATCATTTTATATATACGAGTGATTACAGAGATAATCCCATATTTAAAATGATTATGTCTTAAAAGCTAACTACTTGTTCGATGGGAACAAACTTTCACCTCACAAAACCATAAGTTTTATTCAGGAAAGACGTGGTACATGAAGTTTCAAAGTCGTATGATAAAACTTAAGTCATTTTTTTTCTTCGTAAGCTAGCATTCTTATTTTATCTTCCCACAATACAAATTGAGTGATTTGTATAAAAAGTGTGTCAGTGTACAGGATATTGTAAGAATCAATGTTTTCTGATATCCAGAAAAAAAAAAGTGTTTGTTTTAAGTTAAGGACAAAGCTACATAATGGGCTATCTGTGCTCTTCTCACCACGGGTATCGAAACCCGGTTTCTATCGTTGTACGTCCGCAGACGTATCGCTGTGTCACTGAGGGTTAAAAGTGTTTGTTACAGTTTCATGTAGATATAGTTCGGTATGCTGATTGAGTATGTTTGTTGAATTGCAGGCTAAGCTACTCGAGGGCTATCTGCGATAGACGTCTCTAATTTTGAAGTGATAGACTAGAGGGAAGGCAGCTATTCAACACCGCCCACCGCTAACTCTTGGGCTATGCTGCTTGTGAATGACGAAAAGCGTCTTGAATACTTTATTTATTTTTTTTAAAAACTTTGAACAATGTTCAGACTTTCTTGAATAAAACGTATGGGTTTCGATGTGATCCTGGTGAAATTTAGTTACAGCGAGTCAAGATTTGTTTAAGATAAACGTTTGAAAAAGGGGGATTTCTTTACAGTCACCCTGTACCTGTAAATGAAAAATAGCATTCATACAACAAACACCATGCGAATTCATCAGGAAGTTGCAAATCATCTTGTTTACATGATAAACATACATGATTAAACGGTATGATAATCTTACACTCTAGTATAATAATTTTTATTTGGTTACTGTCAGCTTTACACAACAGTAACTGGTAGTGTTCATTGTACGGGTAGCATCCACTTTATAGTATTAAACGTTTTATGTATCGGGTTTAGTTTTGTATTATACTATACTGTATTCTTAATCGAACAGACAGTTTTTATTTATACTGTATTTCCATATATTTAAACACGGACACTGTAAAGCATTAAGAAACATGTTGTTTTCGGTACACTACGATAAAGGTAATTATTTGTTATCTAAATGAAAATCTGAGGAATTAATCGGCAAGTATTCCACAACTGTCATTATAAAAATATGCCACCCGTGTCAGTTTAACAAGTACTCTTTTGTTTTTCTAAGCCCCCAATTCTACATTATTCAGTTTGCAGACAATCCCCACAAGGTGACGCTCTTGTCAGCACTGGTGGTAAGGATGGAAAAGTCACTAGGATGCCAACGTGCTTGAAGCACTTTGTCCCCATGTTCCGCTATCACGACGTTTGGAATTGGCTGAGATAGGTCACCTATATTGAAGAATGTAAAATAATCCAAAAACTTTATTCATCTCAGAAAGTACGAAACCTTATGAAATATCTAATACCGATAAGTTATTCTTTTTTTTTTATACAGCGAATCTACTGCAGAATTTTAGAAATTCTTAAAATAACAGTTATTAGATTCATTTACAAAGATGACAAGATTTATTAAAAAATAAATTTCTCCTTTTTCTGAATTTATAAAAACGTTATTTTATAGTTTTTGAAACTACAACTAAAACTATAGTTTTTAATTATAAATATATATATTTCAACATCATATCCTCATATTCCGTTAATAACAATAACTTTTGGAGTTTTCGCTTATGGTAGGTCTATCTTTTGACAACGCTACAAACCGGGTTTCGATATCCGTGGTGGGCAGAGCACAGATAGCCCATTGTGTAGCTTTGTGCATAACTTCAAACAAACAAACTATCTTTTGAACTTTTGACTTCGAGTAAAACAGTCTGAAGTAATCGCTAAAAAAAGGTCCCCCGTGGGACAGCGGTAAGTCTTCGGATTTACAATGTTAAAATCAGAGGTTCGATTCCCCTCTGTGGACACAGCAGATGGCTATAAGAAAAACACACACACACTCACTTTAAAAAAGTTTTTTTTGAATTCATACTATTAAGTGTGTAACAGTGACTATTTTTGAATATATCAGAAATCCATAGTACAAATACTGATATACTTCAAATAGCGCCAGTATCGCGCAAAGCTACACGAGGGCTATCTGCGTTAGGCGTCCCTAATTTAGC